CCATTACCATCCTTCACATTGGTCTCATTAGGGTGAACTTGTAGTATGCCTTCAGAATTGAAACTATCTCCTGATGAGGTTTCCATCACTTTTTTCAGAGTAGAAATCAATGAACTGAATTTTACAGACATTTCATTTAAGTTCAACTGCATTTTGCACACAACAACCTCGACATTACAAAGTATTTGTTCAATGGCTTGTGTGAATCATTTACATATCATTTCACACATCAAAAATTAAATTTGTAATGTCGTAAACTTTCAACCACACTTACCGTAAATCTTTCATCGTTATTCATATGAGGTGCCTGAATTTTCGGTATTGCTTTCACAGGTGCGTGTGATAAACCATGATTAGTATCTGATAATGGAACCTATAATGAACATATTATATCATTAAATATTATGTTCGAAAACATCATTGCATAACTGGAAAAGGATGATACCCGCATATATTATAGCCAGCCTGACTTCTTTAAAAGGATCATACGATCATTAATTTCTTGATCACCCCATGCAACAATTCGGGGAAAGGTTCGACCCATGTATGGAACATCCACAACTCCATATGGTGTCACCATCTCAAGGAAAAACAGCTTCAAAAAAACATAAGATTTGTCAAATTTTTGGTTGATGACCAGTTATGCTATTAATAATAAAATGCAAATGTGTAATAAACAATTAATTACTATTAGGACAAGTATGCACCCACTGATATTGTGTTGATTATCCAGCTTGTACTTCTGCACTCCCGTAATAACTCCATCATACACAAGCTTCACTCAATTCTTCTTGCCTAAACTTCCAACATCTATTATCGAGTGGATGAAAGATGTGCTAACCGTGGACTTCATTGTGGGGAGCAATAAATACCCAAGTACAAATAAAGAAAATATACACTTGAACTCAACAAAATCACCTTTCATTTCACATAATCTACCCTACAGAACTTTCAAGGAATAACCTTGAGTCCCTTGAACAACGATTCACATACCTCAATTATTTTGTCAGGGGGCCCGCTCCTCTCCACATTTGCTCCTTCATTTCTCAATCCCATTATCAACTCAACATCTACAAGAGAGAACTTCAACGATTTTCCATACACATTCAGTGAACAACCTTCCGAATCAAAGCACTTCACTAACCATGCACATAAATCTCTCTTTATTTGTTTATATTTAAGGTTTAACACCCCCCCCCAAAAAAAAAAAACCATTTTCTTCAACGCCATGTTTTTGTTCATTACTTAACTTTTCTATTATCTTGATGACCATGCTTGGTGAACATCTTGTGCCTAGCTTGACCTTCATAATATCAAAAAAATACATATACGTATTATGTATTGTTTTCTATGTATAAGTGCACATATATATGCCTTTCCAAAAAAAATTTCAAATTACCCCATTGGAGTTCTTCATGTTTCCTTTCAAATGATCGTATTCCAACTTTGATGAATTCGTCAATTCTATGTATTTTCCTTTCTCAAAATCAGTCATCTTACGCCATTGCACAACACAATCTTTCATTGCCTGAAATTACTTCCATTACACTTTATAAACATGATTTCGCCAAATTACAAATACTAACACGTTAAATATACATACCTCATTTTTTTTCGCTTCATCGGCACCTTCTATTCTTTTATATTGTCTTTGTTGCATAGGACAAATGTTAAAGATTTAACCTACATCTTTAACATTCTTGAATGATATGTTCAAGTTTGAACTTATATCTTTAACATTCATAGATCGATGGTACTACATCCAGGTCGATCATTAGGGCAAATATCCACTAACTCACCAGTAATAAATCCAGGCGATTGATGGCCGATGTATTTTATTTTCATCCCTTTTACATTCGATGTACATCTTCTTTACCCTGAGTAAAATATGTCTTCTATTACAACTTAAATATGTCCCAATGTTATAGAGCATATAAAAAAAAGATATCGGTACTTACATGGATATTGATTCAATTGAATGCACATACACGATTATAATGCACAAAACTACTGTCAAACGTGACTAACAACAACAATAGAGCGCTCTGGCTTCACTTACAGTCGTCGCCCTTTGTTTCAAACGAGTTTGTGGAGTATAGTGTAGTGACAAAGGGAAGATTGCTTGTGGCGGGATCATCTGGACGAGATATATTCAAAGTGGGAGAGAAAACAATTATTTATTAATTTTGTTGTATATGATGATGGGGTCCACATTTCCCTCAATAGAAGTATAAAAATCCTTTAGTCATATTTGAGATAATCTTAAATAATTAAGATTAATCATACCATTCACTATTTTGATCTCCTAAATGCAAATGTATATCCATTTAGGATCGATCATTATTCTGTATGATCGATCTCAATTTCCCCATTCCCCCATAGGCAAGACGCTCCCCCCCCCCCAAGTAAGGTTGTAACATAAAAAAAAAAAAAAAATTGATCGATCATGTGAATGTACAATCGATCTTAATCATCCTTTCTTATAACCTCATCCCTAAAGGTTACTACTTTTCCAATGATAGGAGTAAGTTTACATTAATGCATTGTAAGTGTTCCTTTTTAGTCGATAAACTTACCTTTATTTCAATGAGTAACTTTACCTCCATAAGTGTTAACCTTATTTCTATGAGTGGTAATCCTACCTCTAATGGTACTAACCTAACCTCACCATGTACTAACCTATCATCAACACGTAGTACCCTTACATTAACTTGTTGTAATTTCACTACAAAATGTTTTAACCTCACCCCTAAATATTACAACATTACCTCTCCATGTAGTAACTTGACAACAATTTATTATAACCTCACCCAATACAAATACCTCTTTTTCACATACAGGAGTAATTTTACCTTTATGCATGGTAAGTAGGGGTGTCAAACGTGTTGGGTTAAACGGTTACGTGTCGGGTCAAACAGGTGACGGGTAAAAAACATGTGAACCCGTACACGACACGTTTAATAAACGGGTAAAAAATTTTAACAGGAACACAACACGTTTAATAAACGAATAACACGACACAACTCATTTAACCCATTTAAAAAAAACTAAAAAAAAATATTATTTGAACAAATTTTTACACTCTTAATTTTTTTTTTCCCAACCATACTTACTTCAATTAAAGGAGTTACAACCAGCAATGGTCAGCAACATGACAAACCACACCACAATGTTCAGCCATGTTAAGCCACACCACAGTCCACTTGTTAAGCCAACAGCCACTACCTCTTTTATAAGCAACTAAGTCTCTTCTCTCCACTCCTCTTGCCTATGTGGGATTCAAAGAAAAAACAGATCAATGCTTCAAAGACTTAAAACTTTTGTTTCTTATTTTTTTTTTGAACTGATTTCTTTACTTTTTTTTTTTGAAATATTTTTTACTTTTTTTTCTTTACTCATTTATTATTATATTAAATTTATTTAAACGGTTAAATGGGTGATAAACGGTTTGACAGGTCTCACCCGAACACAACCCATTTATTAAACGTGTTTGGCGTGTCAACCCGTTTATCACTCAAACCCGTTAAGGTCTCACCCAAACTAGTTTAATTCATGTCGGTTAATCGTGTCGTGTCGAATTTTGACAGGCCTAATGGTAAGTATTCCTTTTTAGTCGATAAACTTAACTTTCTTTCAATTGGTAACTTTACCTCAATAGGTGGTAATCCTATTATTAAAATTGTAATCTGACCTATAAACATTGTAACCTTATCTCTCTATGTTATAACCTCACTCTTAAAGGTTATCTCTTTTCCACTGACAGCCATTATTTCACCTTTGTGCATTGTAATTTTTCGTCAATAGTGGATATAATTACCTTTCAATCCGTAACTTAGCCTAACTAGGTGATAACCTTATTTTTAATATTGTCATCTTCCCTATAAAAATTATAATCTTATATCAACATGTAATAACCTTTCATCAATATGTTATAACCTCACTCATACCGATTACCTTATATCAACATGTAATAACCTTTCATCAATATGTTATAACCTCACTCATACCGATTACCTCTACTGCCACTGATTGGAGTAATTCCACCATTATTTGTAATAATTTTCCCTCTATTATAGATAACCTTACCAATTAATATATAACTTACCTCACATTACCTGTAAACTCATACATTTTCCTATTACTAATAAAAATTGTAATCTTTCCTAAAAAATGTAACTTTATTTTTAATGTCCATCTATACATTAAATATTAAGATATATCGTACATAATTTCGATCGAACAAATATTTGAGATAGATCTTAAATAATTAAGATTGATCATAACATTCACTATTTTGATCTCCTGAATACAAATGTATATCTTTTTAGGATCGATCATTATTCTTTATGATCGATCCTAATTTCTCCATTCCCCCCATAAGCAATACACTCCCCCAGTAAGGTTGTAACATAAGTAAAAAAATAAAAATAAAAATAAAAATTTGATCGATCATATTAATGTAACACAAGTAAAAAAATAAAAATAAAAATAAAAATTTGATCGATCATATTAATGTACTATCGATCTTATTGCTCATTATTATGTCCCAATTTTCCCGTTCCTCCGTAGGCAAGACCATTCTCCCCCCTCCCAAGTAAGGTTGCAACATAAGTACAAGCAAAAAGAAAAAAAATAATTTAGATCGATTATATGAATGTACGATCGATTTTATTTATTTTTTAACAGACCAACTGCACAAGCTATAGGTTTCCAGGTACAAAAGTGTGCTGACCAAAAAAAAAAAAAAAATTCAAATCAATGGTTGTGCACTAATGATAAGAACATCAACGGCTCCCATCAAATTTCGGTACGGTACCGAATTTTGACCAATCGGTACCATGGCCTTCCCCCATTCTTCCATAATCAGGCGGCCCATGATCTTTCAAAACCCAAACAACCGTAGTCCGCGATGTACTGTGTACAACCAATAGATAGAGAGCAGTACAAATTGCACTCCGTTTCTCAATCGATAAAACCAGACAGAAGAGAATAAAGAGAGTGTAAAAAAGCTCCCTTCTTCTAATCGATCTCTGCAGTCCTCAATGGAAGCTTCACCTTTCTCTTCCGTTGCTTCCCGCCATCTCTCTGCTACTTCACCTTCACTTCCATTTTGCCGAAACCTCTCAAATTCAAAATTCTCTAGAAAGCCAACAGGCGCTTGTTCTTCTTCTTCTTGGACCGGCTCGACTCACTCTGTCTTGTTCTCTTCAAGAAATTCATTCACTGTAAGTCAAGATAAAAAGCACACAATCACATTATTATTATTTTTTTCCATCGTTTCGATTTTATGTTTTTTTTGTAGAGAGAGGTGTGGGGAGTGATCAACTCCAAGAGCATTGTTACGGTTAAAAGAGAAATGCGTGGTGTGATTAGAGCTGAGATGTTCGGGCAACTCACCAGTGGACTTGAGGCAGCTTGGAACAAACTCAAAGGAGAAGGTTTTTCCTGTTTTTCTTCATTCTCATTTTTCATATATGACGATCGTGTTAATCCCCAATCCAATTGTCTGCTATTTTTAAGCAGTATGTAGTTAAAATCTGATGTTTTACTGGTGGAGTTTGTGAGTGGTTGAGATTGAATCTATTGCTAAAGCTTTAGATTAGCAATTGGGAGTATGCTTCGTTTTTTGTAAATCGAAATGTTAGGGAGTATGTTCGAAATTAATGGTAAATAACTAAATATTTATCACTTTGCTTGAATTTTTGTCCTGATTCCCTTTTCTGTATGGCTAAAAGCATTCTCGCATTGTTCTGCCTATTTTGAGCCTCGAAAATGGCTGCCTTGATGCATTCCAAGTAATCTAAAAAGGAATCTATAATGAATTCCACGGATAGAATACCATAGGGCTTCGGGGTGAAGCCAGAAAAGATGATACTCGTAATCAGGAAAGTGTTGGATATAGTATAAGATAGATGATATTAACAAAAATTATGGCAGTCTATTATTGCACAAGACTCATACTAGTTCGGGGTCTGGAGAGGAGCAGATGTATGCAACCATACCTCGCATACTGAAAGGTTGTTTCCTCTTATAAGAAATTAATACTTTTGGCAATTAGATGAAGAGCTAAAGATGTGTTCATAACTAGTAATAGTTTTTAAAACATGATGCAAAAACTACAGGTGTATTCATTGTCTGTTATTTGCTAAATTTTTAAATATTCTAGAATATTAGAATTCCAAGTTGCCTGTGTAACAAAAAAATTGCTGATATGCACAAGGTAAGTTTGTGTATCTCACTCATATAATACAATGGTTTCAAATTTGAGGAATCGTAGGATCGAGATCAGTGATGTTAAAATTGTAAAGACAGATTTAAAGCTGGGTCATCTTGTCTTTACCAAAGTGGTTCTCATTCTCATTCTTGATGAATAGTTGTTTTCTTCTGTGAATTTATTATGCATCAGAGGTCTTGACCAAGGAGAATATTGTGGAGCCTATGATAGACATCAGGAGAGCTCTTTTAGAAGCAGATATAAGTGACTCTATGTTGTAGGACTGTATTTACTTGTGGAACACTCAAAATAATGATTACCTTTTCTGTTGACAGGTTAGCCTTCCTGTTGTGAGAAGGTTTGTCCAAGCTGTTGGTGTTGGCTGAATTCAAGGAGTGAGACCAGATCAACAATTGGTTAAAGTATGCATATTCGATAACTTGCTACATAATACAGGTTGCAATGTTTTTATCTTGCAGGTCTAACATATCACTACATGTTGACCTTCACTCTTCCACTTTAGGGGCACCGAGACTAGGTATGGACTTGAAAAGTCTCTTTTCTAGACCTTAACTAGTGGTTTGGTGACATTGTGATCTTTATGTACATCAAAAAGTCTCACAAACGATGTTTTTTTTCTTACTTATTGTCTATTACTTTCATTTCTATATTGCTGCGAATGGCATTCCATTGGAATTTTTCCTATTAAGCATGTGGTTGGCACTCTGCCTTTTTTTTCCCCCTCTTGTGACCATCATAATACATGCTTCAAATCACACTGAATTAAATTAATAAATCAAAGCTAGTAAATGTTGTGTCAATTGCCAGAATTGAATCTTTCTTGGTGCTGGAGCTGTGGTTACATGTTTACTGGTTGACGCAGATTGTACATAATGAACTTGTGAAACTGATGGGAGGAGAGGATTCTGAACTGGTTTTTGCAAAATCTGGCCCTACTGTAATATTATTGGCTGGTCTACAAGGTGTTGGAAAGACGACTGTTAGTGCTAAGTTAGCTTTGTATCTGAAGAAACAGGTACATATATTCGTATCTCTCTTTCTCTCTCTCACACACACACACAGAGTTGTATGTGCGTGTGTGTTCATCAGCCTGTCAGTTAGTTATGCCTCTGTAATAGTTGCATATGTGTGTGCGATAGTTAGCCTGCCAGTTAGTTATGCCTTTGTAATAGTGATGAAGTTGTGATATGACTTGCATCACAGGGGAAGAATTGCATGCTGATTGCTGGAGATGTGTACAGACCGGCTGCAATTGACCAGCTTGTTATTTTGGGTGAACAGGTACCTGAATTTGCTTCCCCGAGACATTTTTTCAAAAAAGAGCTTTCTTTTCAGTTTATGTTATGCGTTGAATGTTTTATGATGCTAAATGAAGGTGATGCAATAATGTTAGTAGGCTTTATAAACAAAGTAACCTGGCACAAGATTTGAATTCTGACGCACTTTTTTTTTTACTTAGCTTTAATCAGTTGACGAACAAGAGGCTAATCTCTCTTTCACTTCAAGATGAAGAATAACAGAATGAGTAATCTTACTCAAAAGGATCATGTCAGCACTTGTTCAACTTTGGAACTTAGCTACTTTCATTCTCCACTCCCGAGCATATATTTTTAAGCAGTACAAGACTTTTTTCTGCAATGTTTTTCCTGCTGTCAAGATGAATGCTTTGGTACCCCAAGTCCATGGCTTGTGGCTGCACAGCAATATACAACTCTCCAACTGAAGAAAAAATGGTGACCCATCTTATTCATGGAAGTGAATGATGAAATTGAAGTGCCAAGATTAATTGTCCCTTTGTTTCTTGTTCATGAACAGTTGATTTGTTTTAAGATGAGATGTAAAATATGTCTTGAGCATGGCACACTCTTTTCGTTCAGTGTCGCGGAACCAAGCACACCTGATTCTTTAGCTTTCTTGCATATTTGTATAGTTTTACTCCTTCATGTTTATTGTAAGTGCTGTAAGAGCATCTCCAACGCTCTCGCTAATTGCTTCCTCTACACCATTTTAGTGAGCAAATTCCAAATCCCAGGCTCCAATGCTCTAGCTATCCAGCTTGCCAAATAGCTGAGGGCTTTTTTGCTAGCCAGATCTGGTGAGCGTTTACCAGCTCGCCAGTTGCTGCCTTCTCTCCATTTCTGCATAGGTTCCTTCCATTTTCTCCTTCATCCTAGGCAGATCAGGTATTGAAGTTTCAAAGTTTCATTTCCTCCTTCCTTCCACTGGTTCGATCTTTTTTTCCCCAAAGCATATAGATTTATTTATGTCAATTTGCAATTATTGACTTCGTTTAAATCACAAAATGCCCTTGAATGTCGCAATTAGGTTTTGATGCTGTCTTTTAGGGTTTATGTTGAGAATGGGTTTACTGGTGGTGGTACTCTAGTGGCTTCAATGGCGGTGGTGATTCGGTGGAGGAATCCAGTGGTGTTGGCATGCTCTGGTGGCGTGTTCTTCTGGCCCTCCTCTGGTTCTCAATGGATTAGGGGGATGGGGAGCAGTGATGGTGGGTTCTGGTGATGTGGTTTTTGGATCTGTGGTGATTTTTGTATTGTTGATCAGAACGGTGGAAGACGATGAGTTGATAAAAATATAGGAAAATCCCCTCAAAAATTCAGTAAAATACCTTCAAAAATTTAGTAAAATTCTCCAAAAAAAATTCAAAAATTCAGCAAAACTCTCAAGTATTTTATGATATTTACTCTTGTAGCCCATAATTGATTAAATTTATACAATGTCTAATTGAATTGTTATTTTTTAAATTTTATTATTGAAAGTTAGTTAAATTTAATTGAAGTAATCAGTTAAAATAGATAGCGTGGTTGGAGTGAATTTGAAAAAAATAGATAACTAAAATAGTGAATATAATATTTAAATATATTTTGAGTAATTATTTTATTGAGCGTAATTGGAGATGCTCAAAAGAGAAAACAAATGTACGAAACAATATAAAACAAAATATCAGGATATCTTATGAAAATTTTCTTTTATGTACGAAGAAAAGTGTGTCGTGCTTTATCTGACTTCTACCGAAAACAAGAAGATGTGTAGCAGTTATTTCTTTTGTAAGCTAGTATATCTTATGTACTATCTCATGTAAAGTTAATTTGGTCTACTTTCAGTAACATGTCTTTTACAAACGTGTTCAAACCAGCGTGGTTCTACTTTTTTGTTTCACCAATATATTTATTCTTAATTCTGTTCTTTTTAGTTTTACCCCCGGTTTATATGAACTCACTCATTTTCAACGTGCGTTTGATAATGTTTTTATTTATATATTTTTTTTTATAAAAAAAAATAAAATTAATTTTTTTTTTTCATGATAAAAATTAAAAAATATAAAACAAGTTTGATAGTTATTTATATTTAAAAAATTATAATAAAAAAAAAAAAAACATGTTTGATATTTTACTCAAAATTCACCGCACAACGCCACCAACAACCACCCAGCCTCATCGAAAACCTACCCCCAAACTCCCTGCAATCTACCACCCACCACCCCAGAAAACTTACCCCCACCACCCTCCACCCCCCCCCCCCCCAAAGCACTGAAAACCAACTCCAACACCCCCGAAATACCCCCCCCCCAAACCGTTTGAAACCCATCCCCAACTCCCTGAAACTCACCACCAGCCTCGAAACTCACCACTCAACCTCCTGCAAAACCCACCACCCAACCCCATCACCACCCCCAAAACCCATCACCCAATACCCAAGAAAAAAAAAAAAACAAAGATGGGAGAGAGAGAGAGACGAGAGAAAAGGATCTAAAAAAAATAAAATTAAAGAGTGTTTTTATACTTCGGCAAGAAAATCCCTTTTTTGTTGCTAAGGAGGATCGAAGTTCAGATCTCATTAAATCTATTGCGAAGCTGCCCGTATTTTATTTTTTGGATGTTTTCAAAAACATTATTTTAGATGTTTTCATATTTTTGCCTTGTTTTCAAAACGAAACTGGAAAAAAAAAAAAACCAAAACATTCACCAAACGCTTTTTTTTTTTTGGCCGCAATATGAGAAATGAAAAAAAAAAAACAAAAAAACAAAAACTGTCAGTTACTAAATGACACCTTAGTTTTTGAGCTTGTTGTTTTCTTCATTGTCCAACACAATAAAGAATTGCTGCCCTAATGGCTAATGGCTTCTTGTTGAGGTTGTGTCCATGTGAGTGTAAAAAATAAATTGCTTGCTTTCTTGTTCTTCTGGTCTGATAGAATGGGATTAAGAATGTACCTTAGAAGCACAGAATAGTTGCTCTTAAGCAAATGTTTCCTTCTTTTTTATTTGCATACCTTCCTAGGATTTTGTGTTTTGTTACTATTCAAGCGATAATGCCAATTGCAAATTCCATAGTATCGCCTCTTGTGGTTATCTTTGATGAATTTGCAGCCCTTGTCACTACATTTAACCTTGAAATTGGAATCACTGGTGCCATTTTGACAAAGCTTGATGGAGATTCTAGAGGTGGTGCAGCTTTGAGTGTTAAAGAGGTTGGCCTTGGTATTACCTTAAACTGCTGATGTTTTATTTCAACTCCTGAAAGAAATATATTTATGATTATTGTGTCTCTATGATGGGAACTAACATGTCTATTATATTTCTGAAATGGCCTTCAGATTTCTTCTTAAAGCCAAGCCTTGATACTTAAAAGTTTTCTAACAAATAGCCACACAGAGATTTATGCCAAACCTGGCAAAAATCAGAAGCGTTGGTTTTAGATCATCTTGTTCTCGTTTCTTTGTGAGTCCATAACTTGATTTTTCATCAAAGTGCTAGCTTAAGAAGGGTGGTTGAGCTTGTAACCTTTGAACAAACCTCATAGCCTTTAAACAAAGTGCAGTGATTTTGAAGCTGCTGTTATTGATATTCAATTAGCTGAAAACTTCAAGAGTTAGTTAGCAGACTGACATGTTTTTTGATGAAATTGTTATCCTTCTTCATTCGTGGATCCATTATTTAAGGAAAACAAAAGGTCATTGTTGCCCTTTTATTATAGTTTTTTTAGAAATTATGAAGAGACTAACAATGGGCAAGCCCATCAAGCCTGTCGGACGTGGGGAGCGCATGGAAGACCTTGAAGCTTTCTACCCAGATCGTATGGCAGGACGCATATTAGGGATGGGAGATGTTCTATCATTTGTGGAGAAGGCCCAAGAAATCGTGAGTGTTAACTAATTGTATGTCGTTTTTCCTTGAAAGGATCATAGTTTAATCTGGCGTTTACATAAATCGTGAGTAGATGCGCCAAGAAGATGCTGAAGAATTGCAAAAGAAGATCATGAGTGCAAAGTTTGACTTCAATGACTTCCTTTCGCAAACTCGTACAGTTGCACGGATGGGTTCAATGTCCCGTGTCATTGGGGAACGATTCCTAGCATGGGGAAGGTATGAAAATCTGGGTTAACTTTTCCTATGATTTCTCTTCTGCCTATTTTTTAAACCTATGTCTCGATCTGTTTTGGGCATTTGCTTACAAAACTAGATACCATGTTTGTGGTTACTTACTAGAGTAAATAGGTGATGAGACAGTGGCTAAAGTCCAAAAGGCATCCCGTTGTTAATGTTGCATTATTAAATGCTAAAAATAGAAAAGGTGCAATTGATTCTCTTTCTCTTTGTTATGCAAACAGGTTACACCTTCACAAATTCGAGAAGCAGAGAAGAGCACAAAGATAATGGAAGCAATGACCCCAGGTTGTTTTTCCTTTAGTTTTTAGAGAATTTATAGATCTTCAAAGAATGAACTTAAGTTAGCCTCTTTAACATCCTCTGGCATTGCTTCCCAGTCTCAAGACACACTTCCATAGTTCTGCAAGTTGGCAAAATATGATTTTGGATGCAGAAGTAAGCAAGATCATATTGCACAGGCTTGATCTCATACTTTTTCGATCCCTTTCTTCTTAGGCATGAAATTGGTTGACTCTAGACACCTTCCTGATCTTATTGCACAGGCTTGATCCCATACTTTTTCGATCCCATTCTTCTTAGGTGTGAAATTGGTTGCGATAAGGACTTGTAGCTTAATGATCGTCAGCTCTATGTCATAAATTTTGCTTGTATTCACCTCTGATCATGGAACAAAGTTTCTGCAAATTTTTCCAACCAAGAGAATCCATCAATTTCTCATGTCCAGAAATCGTTTCCTCAATAGTTGATGATGTAACTGAAGATGATACAGTGATTCGATGCCAAATAGTTCATTATTGTTTCAATTTGTTTGTATTGTAGAAAAAGTTGATGCATGAATTTTGTTAGTCAACCATGAATTCTGTTTCATCATTCTTTTTTATGTGTGATGCTAAAGCGTATGGCCAGACATTCATATTTGGCATGTGTTATGTAGGATGCACATTTCATGGTGTTCTCTTGTTCTTTTGTTTTTTTCTTCTTCTGTGGTAAGTGGGTGGAAAGGAGCAACCAGCCGTGGCAGCCATCCCAGAATGTGACCTTGGTAACACCTTGGAGGGGCCTAGACGATTGGATGGTCGCTGGCACTCTCTCAAACAGGTTTAGTCATATCATGACCCAGTGACCAACGAGGGTTAGGAGATTCATGTCGAGCGTAGGACCACCAAGGGACCAGAATATCGCCACCGAGTCTTGATCTTCGCTACCAAGTTTCAATCCATGCTATCGAGTCTCAATCCTCGACTCTCATGGGGTTATAAGACGGGAGTAAGACCATCGACGGACTCTAATATCCCTCGATTCCATATTGCCTGCCTGACTACTTGACCTCCCAAAACTTTGAGGACTAACTGACCCCTTACCCATTCGGTCGTACATGTCATGTTCTTCTTTTGTATGTTATAGTTTCTATTGAAAATCTGATGGTAGACCTATAAGAGATATATAGGACTTGCCATTTAGTTCAATAATACTTGTAAGGATTAGCACAAGTGGGGTTTAGATTATGGTTTTGAATGTCAGCACAATCACCTTATGGTCTACAAAATATTAGTTTAGTACATTGTAATACATTACTATTGTCCAATGGTTTTATTGTGGAGTAGAAATAAATCGCAACCTCTATTTTCCTATGTAGAGAAAAATAGTTGTAACGGTAATATCATATCATCATTGACACATGGTGTCGCCGACTGATAATAAAATACCAAATAGAAATGGTGAATTTCACCATTTTAACATGGTAATCATTAGATATGATGGTTATTGGTAGTTATTAAAATAATGGGATCCACTAAGTCTACATATTGGATAAAAAAAAAAAAAAACAAAGTCTACATTAATGAGGATTAATGACGTGATATCACGGTTATATTGAATATTTTCTTGGGAAGAGTGAGGATTTTTTAAATATTATGAATGTAATAATGAACTAAAATTACCAAAGAAATTGAAGTATACATGTTTCAAAATCTGTTGTCAAAACGTTCTAATTAATAGACAAGTTTCAAGTAATTATTTGGAATGGGTTTAAATGCTTTGTTTCAAAATTTCGTAGGACGAAAATGATAGAGATTTTTCCTGTCCAAAGGCAAAATTTAAAACAAAAAACTAATAAAAGAGAATTCTTTTATTAATCAATCGAAAGAACTTCGATTACAAGAGACGTAATTACAATATTAATTGCACCTAAACTATCCCAAAAACACTCGGAATGATGTCTACATCGTGGGTATTTTGGGGATTTGAATATGTACCATCTTCTTCATTAAACACCTTTTATAATTTTCTTTTGATCAATTGTTATCTTTTGATAATTCTCAGTTAGTTATCTCCTTGCTTTCAAATGTCATTGTGATCAATCCTCTCCCGCCTTTCTTCAACCTTTGTCATGTGGCATTTCCTTAGTAAATCTGGAATGTCAAATGTGAATACATTAAATATTTCTAGAATTTTATATTTTAAGTCCAAATAATATTACGTGGTTTGGTAAACGGAGGGTATTGTTGAGTGCAATCTGGTCATTTCCACAGGTCCCCCCCCCCCCCCCCCCCTCCCCCCAAACAACAGGTTTCCCGGACAGTTGAAAGCAAGAATAGGAAGTTGTTGAAACACTTGACATGTGTTTGGTTAAGTATTCTTTCTTTGCTTATATGAAAACCTCTTATATCTTATTTTTTCACTCCCCCCCCCCCCCCCCCCCCCCGGCACAAAAGTAGATGAAAAATTCAAAGGAACTAAGGAGGCAATTTTAATGTGAATGCAAAAAGTTTTCCAGTGAAGAAAATGGCAAGCTCAGAGGACACTTTTCCCGTTGTCGATGCAGACAGAGAGTTGAATCATGACTGGAACAAAAATTTTGAGGTTGATCCCGTATCATCGGAAATGGCTACCTCATTGGAGATTAAGGTAAATTTTTGAGACTTAGCTGACATCTTTGTTTTGGTGAATCGCATTTAGCTACTTTGATTACACGATAATGTGTGACAACATACGTAGATATGGAACAAGAATTTCCAAAATTCAGAATGGGATCATTTTCATCGAGAGTGAGAAGAGTTATCGTTTTAGTAGCAATTGAACAGTGAAATTTTCAAAAATTGATGGGATTGGGGTCTCTTCCAGGCCATCACTAGGCTCCATCTTGGTGCTACATTTTTTTTTTTTTTGCACGGTTATGAAAGGATTTATTCATTTATTTGATGGCTACCATTTTCGTCCAATAAATATCATGCCGACTAAAAATCAATTATTTCACATTACAAAGTCCGATGCCTCTATTATTCACACTACGAATGAAATTAACGTTACATAAATGTCATGAAATAAAAAATAAAAAACGTAATCAAGATTTGCAAATCGTCACATAATTCTATAAGAGCTATGCTCAATGTGCATTATTGAGCCTAAATACAACATGCACGAGCACCACATTTTTCTAACAATTACTATCTAAAGCGCAGTGTAATGCACGAGATTCTCATTATTACATGATTTGAGAATAATGAAATATACACAATGTTATTCTGCATAAGCATCTAGAAATACGGTTTACGTAATTCAAACACGCAATATTTAAATCATAATAAAACAATCTTATAGTAATCTTATAGTTACACTAATATGCATGTAGATGCAAAAGCCCTTGCATGTGTTTTTCCAATTTCTGGGTACCCCGGAATAAGAATTCAGTTAATTATAATGTTAAAAATGGTTTGTATTGCAGGAAAAAGCTGAAGCAGCAGAAAAACAGAAAAAGATGGGAAAGAAGGATGCATTGCAAACACTCAAATCTACCATCATTGTTTTCAGGAATCATTGTGGCTGTGTGTGGAGCAATCTTTGCCATAACCAAGAAACTAAAAGAGAAGTGATGTGTTTATATAGTTGGATGTTGACAACCCCAGAAGATTTTTTATTTGAATTATTTATTTTTTTTGCAGTTTTGTTGGTAACAGTTATTTCTATACTAGCATTGTTACTTCCATTTAATGTTTTTTGTGGAAGTATCAAAACAACCACCTAATTCTATTTGTGTCTCAAGTTTTGTTAACACCATGTGTATGGTGATTCTTCTCTCATCAATTCTTGGCAATTAGTGACCAAATTATGCAATGCACATGATTTTTCACCATATTATTTCCCCCCACATCAGCTAATCTCACCTTTGGGGGGGGGGGGGGGGGGTTAATCGGGTTCTGGATGGGGACAAATAGTGGATTGGGATTGTAGATTTGTGACGGAATATGATTAGTGGTGGTGGTGATGAGGCTTTCAAATTGAAAAAGAGAAGGGAAAAGAGGGGGGGGGGTGATGGAGAGTGCATAAGTGTGAAAGATTTATTAGATAATGTTAAGAAGAATGATGATTATGAATTACTAAATGACCATACAAACAACGTTGCAAATTCAATCTGAAAATAACTATCATCAATCTATTGATAAGGGTTAACAATAACATTATTTTTCAATGTACAATGATTCATGTGATTCATGAACAAATGCTGAAAATCTAATACAATTAATCGAGAATAGTGGTTGTTTAATAATTTTCAGATCGAAAAAATCTCGTTATTCTCAATCCCCCCAAAAAAAAAAAAAAACACCCGATTGTAGCTACCTTCTTACCCATCCACTAATCGGTTTAGACAAGTTAAACCACATAGGATCAAAACCTAGATCATTCTAACTCTGCAAAGGTATAAATATCTTCAGCTTCAGCTTCAGCTTCTTCTCTCCAAAAAAAAAAATGGCTTTATTTCAACTCACACTGCCCTGTTCATCACCTCTCTCCTACCTCAAACTCGAATCAAAACCAAACCATTTCATCACCAACCCTCCAATTCTCACTCTAAAACCAAAACCACCCTCCAATTCCCTCCACTCCTCCACACCCACCACCTCCAAAGCTTTCTCCAACCGGCTTTCTCAACCAAAAAATTCTCTCGATTCGATTAGACCCTTTATTCAATCCGAATGGCAACCAATCCTCAAGGGCTGGCTTTGCAGCGCAATCTCGGTGTACTCTCTCTCCAAAATTGTCCCCAAAATGGGAAAATTCTCGGCGGTGATGGGTGCAGTCGAGGTAGTGAGGCTTAGAGAGGAGGGTTTGGTTTTGGGGGTTTTTGCTTTTGGTTCGGTTGATCGCGAATTACCTTCAACAAGCTTTTCTATGGGAGGCGTCGCTGAATTCTGTGTACAAAATTAGGGTTCATGTTTTTGAGAGGGTTTTGCAGAGGGATTTGGAGTTTTTTGAGGGTAGAAATGGTGTTTCAGCTGGCGATATTGCCTATAGGATTACTGCCGAGGCTGCAGATGTCGCCGATACTGTTAATTCTCTATTGAATGTGAGTGATTCTGTGTGTGTGTGTGTGTGTGTGTGTGTGTGGTGGTGTATGTTTTGGTGTGCATATTCGAGGTGTTGCACAAAGAGCCATGCACCAGGTAAGTTCGCACACAAGGCTTTGTGGGTAGCCTTCGGACCACCTGTTTTTTTTGGTTGCATCCTGTCTACTCTCTGCTCACAAAGCTAAGAGTTTTTTTTTCCGTTCATATTTGTTACGTTTTACTTGGGGTAGAATTACCAGTATATTCTAATCTTTTGGTTCTAAGAAGCTGACAGATGTGAAAAGATGGTTTTAAGATTGAGAGAATGCTGGAGGTTAATGTGGATTCCAATCAGAAGTGAGGAATGATGTGCGTTAATTCGCCTGGTGCAGTAGTTTAGAAGTGTTCGGTGTGTGTTTTATTGATTCCTTATCTTAAATATTGCATGGATCTAGATGTGAGGAGCTGGTCTAGTGGACACAAAGACACTGGTTCTACATCCACGGTTTGTGTACATGATTGGAATTAAGTAGTTCATTGTGTCCATGAACCCCATCCACTGTGCTGAGCTATGTATGAACTGTACCTTAAGCATCTGAAACAATTAACCGTTAAATGAGACTAATTAATCTTTAATCTTAACAGAATCTTTCTCAATTATCTGTTAATGTTAATAGAAGGGGTCGACTGAAACAAAATTATATAATTTAAGGGATAGATTAAGATAATTAAAAGTTCAATAGGCAACTTAGAACCAAAGGTCATAGTTCATGGAACGTTTATAAGATTTTCTCTTTATTTTATTTCATTTAATCGAAGTTACTATTTTAATTAATTGTTATTTTATATTTCTTTTAGCGTGAATAACACTTTGCATCCTAAAATATTTTCAAATTCTCAATTATATAGTGAGGATTTAAATTTTTTATATTACACCATCTATGAAATAAAAAAGTAAAAATATAGTAAAAATTTTTGTTTATTTGTTACATTATCCTATTTTTATACACAACTGACTGCTAAAACTTCAGGGCCCCAGTACATGTACACAACTATAAAAAGCAAAAAAAAAGAGGAATTGTCATTGATTTCAAGCAATTTAGATCTGCATTTTGTAATAGGCATTGTGGGAGAGACTCAAAAAATGGTAGGAATGTTATGAGCTTATGATAATGAACTGGAAAGAGAGGTGTAGCAGACAATGATGACTGGATCATGCGCAAATGAATGGGTGTATGGTTACTGGTTGAAGTATCTACTGGATTTGCTTAGCTGATTTTTTTCATGGTTAATCATTATAGTAACTTTCTACATTGAAGTACATTCTGTTGAAATAGTGTCTGAAATGTGTATATGATTCTTCTTCCACTTCCTGCCCATTCTCACCAGCCCAATTTTATTTCTTTGTTTGGCAGTCTATTGTACCCAGTACTCTGCAGTTAGCAGCAATGGCAACTCAAATGCTGGTCATTAGCCCTCTTCTTTCGTTAATTTCTGCCTTGGTGAGGAAGTGGTAACTAGTCTTTTCCTTTTGTCTGGCTTGGTGCTAATCAGTAATGTAGTTTTTCTAAGGTATCATATCTGTCTGGTAATCTTAAGGTGATCCCATCGATGGTTCTTGTCCTTGATTTCTTGGTGAAAAGCTTCGTAAGATATCTAAGAAGGCACAAGTTAGCATTGCTACTCTCTCGCCTATCTGAATGAGGTAGATTTTATTACATTATCAAAAAAATGAACAGTTGGCAGTGTTGCATATTATGCAAATATATGCTTTTTGGTGGAGATAGAATACTACATGAAACATAAAAATCAAGTAGTGTGAGCATACACACACACAGAGACAGAGACGGAGACAGAGAGACAATACATAAAGAAAGAAATAAGGGTGGACAAGTCATCCAACACAAGAATAAACATTACACAATAGGTCTTACCTACATGAGCCACATAAAGCTCTCCA